CACTCCTTAAATTGTATTATTTCTAATAATCATATCGAGAAATCGCATTTGGGTTGGTCTACTCTGCGATGCCCCAACAAACTGCGGATTACCTGCCTCATTTGCACGATGCTTGATGTGACTCCAGTTTACACAGAGCGAGCAAAAACTAAATACAAAATATGAAGAAATATGTACCTTTCTACAGCAATCCCCTGAAAACAGAAGAGAACAGAAGCTGCACTGAGCGTAAGAAGGATAGCTATAGCAACAAGAGACGTAACAGCAGTGAAGACAGTTAAATGAAAGAACTATGGCGTTCGCGATAGCTTGGAAACCAAAAGGCCACGGAAGACGATTAATAATTTAAAAAGCTACTACTCCTCCAAAACTTTCAGCTGGGAGACCAGTGCCGATGCTAATAAAGGTGAACAAAAATGATTGCGTTAACTTGTAGACCTTTTTTTTTTAAGAGCGAAAAATGAAATAATCCATAGGCGACACGTACGAAAGTGAGAGAGAATGTGGTAAATGTAGTAAAATTATTTGGATCGCTATTTATGGTTTCGTGACCAACGCTTTGGTACGAAAAAAATGAAGATAAGGTTTGAATGCACAAAAAAAATAGTATGGAATCATAAGTCAATCGGCAATCTATGCACCAACTAAGAAAATTCCATAGAGTACTGCAAAAAAAAAGTACATATTGCAGAGTAGAATCCATTTCGTTTCTCCTGCGGATTTCGATCATGTTTACACCCTCTTCCTTCTTTTTTGGGTACTCAGTACATATACCTAAGGTATTTCGATTGACTTGGCACTTACGTTGAACTCGTTTGACTCCAACGTGCACCGCTAAAGTAGCACTTTATTCCTTCCACCTTCATTTCATCTGCAGTTCAAGGCATAAACGTTGCTACATTCTAGCGTGCAGGAATGCTTCACGTACATTTTCACTGTTTGCTGTTCAAAGATAAGAAAAACAAGCACCTCCAACACTTTGTAGTGTCATGACCATAAACATGTCACACCTTAAAAACGACCCCACTTCCACAGTTCCTCATGCTGCGGCACGTAATATCATTGTCAGAGAATGTGGGCAACATCACGAAGTCTAAAAGGTCATTAGGACACCAAACAGAAGCCACACCACTTTTTTTTTCAACTTAATTTTTTTAGGCAGTGGGTGAAGTGATGTCACGAAGAGAGGTGTGGACCGGTGAAACTCCCTAAAAGATTCTTCGGCATGATTACAAAATGAAGAAAACAAGACACACACACACACACACACACACACACACACACACACACACACACACACACACACGCACGCACACACACACACACACATAGAAGAATAAAAAGGCACTGGGTTCTTTTCTTGCACCATAAGTGGCAAAGGAAACAAACCAACGCCAGCCACGCACACTCCCCCCGAGGAGTTCTCCGCCAAGGTCATATGATCCACACTACCCTCAAAAAATGGCGACGTCAGCATAATATGGTTGCCAGCGTACGCTGCATAAGAAAACGTGTGCCGAAGTCGGGTTGAAGGAAAGAGGGTGCTCGCGGCTTACTGGGTCACGGCAGCCCGAGGCTCGCGACAGAGGCGAACACGTATGTACATTCTTTTCAGTCACTTCAAGGCATCATTCGAGAACAGGGCCTGCTCGCTTATAAGGTATATCAGAGAGCCGGCCGGGCAGGCAAACAAGATCGCACAGCAGCGGCCACCTGAGCGGCCGAAAGTCGGGCAGCCGTTCTCCGGGGCAGTCGCTTCGCCTTCATACTCGTCGAAAGAAGGCAACGAACTATCGCGAGGAGTGCGGAAAAACTGGCGGCATTCGGAGAGGGGGAGGAAGCGGACCGTTGAGCGACCCAGACCCAGTTATTTTGTGTTTGCATCCACGCCACCCCCTCCTTGCCCTCTCGCTCTTCCTGCATTCACTTCCCCTCCACCGCACCACTGCTTGCATCTTCCGCACGGGGCTACGGGGCCACGCATCGCCGCCTCCCACATCACCGCACCCCCCTCTCCTCCCTTTCTTACCTGTCTCTCTCCGCCAATCTTGCCCTCCCCCACTCTCACGTAATATTAGCGCTCCGTTCACCGGGGAGTACTGCTCTCTTCCACCACCCCCTCCCCCGTCAAGAGGCTGAGGGAGAGAAGAAGCCATCCGTTGTTAGGTCATAGCGTCAGCCGGTCCTGGCCAAAAACGCTGTCCGAGGACCGCCGAGAGGAACGTGACTCTGTTCGCGGGGAAGCCAGTCGCGAATTCGTCCATGTGCCATTTCAGACGGACCTGAGTGACCCATCGCCCACATCTACACCTTGTCGCTCGGCCTCAAGTTCGAAACTGTTGCTTTGCCGTTCGGAGATTACGGCCCTGCTGTTGTTTTTCGACTCGCGTGGTTGGTGACTTTTCGTTCGCGAGCCCGACGCGACGTCCTTTTTCTCGAGCGAAGGCAGCGCCACGGGACCATTTGTGAGAGGAGTAACACACGGCCCAAAGTCACTCAGGTGAGTCGAAGGTGCCTCGAGTTTCATTCTGATGATACGAATGTCCCGCTGATGCAAACACTGGTCCCAGTGGTCGCGAAACATCGGAAGTAACGGTGGAGATTCCACGCCAGTAACAGCTTTGTCGCGATTGGCGGAGGGACCACGTGTGCCTCCGAGTAACAGGAAATCAAGGCCTAATGTTTTTTTTTTTTTAGACTAAGGGTAATTGCTGTGCACGTTCCTTTTCTTCTTGTGCCTCCTGATCAGCTAAAGCCCACTGAAATTCTCATCCGTGCTCCTCTTTCGTCAGACCATTACGTTCCTCCTTGCAGCATCACCTACGGTGTTCTCCACCCCCCCCCCCCTTCTTATTTTTTCGCGGTATTTCCGTCAGGTGGTTCGTGTTATACTTCGTGCATACCCACGGCTTCCTTTTCGTTATTATTCATTTTACCATCGTGTTACACTACAAGTGTGTCCGACGAAGGCCTGCTGCACTTGTTAACATAGCATGACTCAGTGGAGATAAAAAAAGAAACAATGGGCTTTTTTATCTCCAATGAGCTTTTCAAAAACAAAAAAAATGTGTGATGAAATACGTGACAAACCTTTTTTTTTTTGCAATACGTGGAAAACAAAAACTAGCACTTCTCACTTGAGTTCCACGTCCTTTCTGCAACCTTGTAACATCGAGTATGAAGAGTTTCAGTGCGACTGCTTCACATTTTCGTGTATTGCAGGGGAAAGATTAACGCACCCGTGCTGTAATTCGAAAGTCCGTTTAGAATGCCTCACCATGGATCTAGTAATTATGACGCTCGACGGCTGACAAAGGCTTGAAGGTTGGGATCCTGGCCGTGGTGGCCGCGTTTAGATGGAGGTGATTATGCGAGAGGCCCATGTAAATTTCGGTGCTCATGAAAGAACACCAGATGGCCAACATTTTCGATACCCTCCACTACGCATTCCTCATATTCACATCGTGCTTTTAAGACGTATAACCACTACAAATATTATTGTCACTACAAATTCCGCGCGTCAGAACGCTACAATTATTGTTGCCACTTGAAACTCCGCTATAGGCCGATTCATGCCTAGAGCGTTTTTTCATTGCCTCCGTTCCGGAGCTGCGCCTCTAAATTCTAAACCGCAATCTCCATTTGGTTTCAACGAGACAAAAGCAGTATAACCGTGCGGAGAAGAAATCTAACTAGCTATTTGCATAGTGAGTTGCTTGAAAGTGAAGGTTTTTTTCTGCCGGAGCTTTCTAATAAGTACAGTTACATTATTTGCCTGAAGAGTACATATATACAGTGCGAATGGACTTGTTACCAAGCCGGGTGACTTGGTTTCTGCTTCTATAGGCTTCAACGACTTATCAAATGAATAAGCGCCAACGTAACACGCAGAAACACAAGCAAGTGTCATGAGCGTCGATACTCTATTCCACCATGTCAATAATTCAGGTGGTTATGATGACGCCTCTGTCCAGTTAAGTTGAACCTTTGTGGTAGAACTTGCCTCGACAGAGGCTTAAGTATACATAAACACGATCAAATTAATGTCCTGTTCCAACCTTCTCAAAACAAACTTATCCGAGTACGGAAAGCTACAAGCCAAGCTTCGTGAACATGCGCAACGTGACGCCTCTACCTTTGTGATTTTATGTCAAAGCTCGCTACGTATTTCATAATGCATATTTTCGTTCTTCTCCGTGAAGTGACCCGAATGCCCTACACAGGTTCCTATCTCTACATAGCGGAAGTTTGTCAACTTCATTCTTATATTAGCCAAACTGCCGTCAATATTTCGTAGCAATCATTGCGTCCCTCACCATGGGTACACATCCAGCGCGATGGTGTCGCATTGCTTAGCGCGAGAGTGTGGATTTTTATTTTCCGGCCTCGGCAGTCACATTTCAGTGAGACTGATATAAAAAATAACGCGCGTATGCCTTGATTTATGTGCACGCTAAAGAACTCTGGGTGGTCTAAATTATTACGGAGTCGTCCCTCATTGTCGTGTCGCGGTTAACACGCGTCTAAAACGCCCGCAATTATTACGTGTGGTACCCACACATTGTTCCTAAACCTTAAGTTCAGCAAGGTGGTACAATAAACGCCGCATATATAGAGACTGAAATTTATGTACTGTAGTGCGAACCTAATGTCCGACTGTATATACTTCACCATGGCGGGAAAGTTGCTATGGTGCGTTGGCACAAAGTCGCTGGTTAAATTCCTGGGCCCAGGAGCTTTCCTTTGATAGGGAATATGCATAAAGTTCTCTTTTTTTTTGCTAAGGAAAACCCTGAAGGCATGAATTATTCGGTGCTTTACACTACGATGTATTTTCGTGCCGTTCTATGCAGTCGTGATTTAGAACTTCATTTGTCTATCAGTAAATGTGTTTTTCATATCTGTTAGGTCATCTCAATTTACTACATACCTTGTAAAAACATTGGTAACACTGCGTATTGGTCAATACCACCATACGCAACGCTAGAGTAAGGCGCGGCGAATTGATTTGATTGATTTGTGGGGTTTAACGTCTCAAAACCATCATATGAATATGAGAGACGCCGTAGTAGAGGGCTCCGGAAATTTCGACCACCTGGGGTTCTTTAACGTGCGCCCGAATCTGAGCGCACGGGCGTACAACAATTCCGCCTCCATCGGAAATGCAGCCGCCGCAGCCGGGAATCGAACCCGCGACCTGCGGGTCAGCAGCCGAGTACCTTAGCCACTAGACCACCACGGCGGGGCAAGGCGCGGCGAAACAAAGTCTCTTTCTTTAGCGTGTAAACCACGAAACAGGCAGATAAGAAAGAGTGCATATGGAAACCTCCACATTACGGGGACGCCCGGCCGGCAGCTCGATGAACCTAAAGTTTCGACAGAGTGTGACAAGTCCACCGAAGTTAACGACGACTGCAAATACGCCGAAGCGTGTACGCGCGCGTATTGTAGGAGCGCGCGACGTGCATCCTCCTCTTCATCTTCCACCGGCATTTCCAAGTACGCGAATGGCGCAACGCACAGCGAGCGGCTCCTTTTCGAAAGGGTTAACCCCTGCCGGCATCGTCGCCAGGCCAGCCGCCGGTGCCATGAGCGGCTGACCTCGAACTCTTTGCCGCGGAAACAATGAGCCGATTGTGGCGTCACTGACCTCCTCTTCGAGCGGGTTACATAACGGTAGGAGAACACCCGGTCAAGCGCCGCGTCGGGTGGCTGGCGAAAAAGCTCGCGTGCTGCGGGAGCCGTCATAAGCGCCGGCCGCGGTACAGATTGGTGGGCAAGGTGTCACGCTGCTCCAGGATGCATCGGCGATTGCCGGCAGCAGCGGCCGCTTTTCGATGTGGCCCAAATGCAAGAGTGAACGCCCGTCTACTATAATATTTTTTACGTGCATCTCATTTAACTCCAGGTGGTCAATGTTTAATCCGAAATCCCCAACTACAGCGTGTGTCATTATGATGCACATGCGCGATCAACCAAGTATCCGCTTTAAATACTTTTTTTCTGTTTAATAAACCTTCAGTTGTAAGAGCAAGCGCTGTCCTTGTCAGCCTCTTCCGTCCGTCTTTGTTCAGTGCGCTTCAACAAAAATTTTCAATCATGTCATTATATTATCGTGGTTTTAGATCGTATAGCTTCATAATCCCAAATATTATGTGAAAACCAACAAAAATTTGCCCCTCCGACGCGGAAGTTGAACGAATATGTTGCTTCAGTGCTGACCCGAAGGTTGTGGGATCAATTCCTGGCCACGACAGCTGCATCTTCATGGAAGCAAACTGCTAAAAGGCCGGATTAAAAGAAAGATTTAGGCATACGTTAAGAAACTCCAGTAGGTCGAAATTTCAGTCTACAAACCCGTCTCTTGTGATCATATTGAGGGTTTGGAAAGTAAAACCACAGACAGACACACAGACAGACAGACAGAAAATTTTACAGAAGTCCTGAGAGTCTAGCCGAGAAGGACCTTAACTATCATTATCATTTACTTGAAATGCAACATGTGTGCCCTAAGCAATTCGAGCGACGGGCATTTTTCGCTCCGGCGCCTGACAGCCTCGTGGCTCACAGTGAGAACCATGTGCTGGCAACACACGAATTGTTTTCTTCTTTCTCTTCCGGGAAATGAGGGGGCTTGGTTAATTTCTCGATGCTGTAGCGGGACGAGCGGGAAAGGAAGGTGTGAGCGCGCTGCAAACGGCTTCTTTCAAGAAAGAGCTAAATAACCACCGAGGCATTTGTGGCCATGACATGCGCGTGTGACTCGCTGCACTGCAACGCACGATTCCTGGCGAAATCGGGACCCGTGATTCCCAGCTACGGCGGCCGCAATTTGTTGGTGACAAATTGTGAAGAAAAAAAACCCGCCTTAAATTTTAGGTGCGCGTGAAAAAAAAGAAAAAAAAACCCCGGGAGGTATAAAGTAATGCTCTTTGCTTTCCTTGCCTCGCCTTTCGTTTCACTTTTCACCTTCGTGCTCGCGCTGCAGCCCTTATTATCATGAATGCGGATACGGTGTGACTCTATCATACCGTCGTTTCCACTCGTGAAAGCCCGGGATGACATTTTATCTTATCTTTCGGGGCCCACCCATCTGCGCGCATCGACCAAGTGTAAGCGTAGGTGCACACTAGCACTCGGACTTCCTCAAATCAGAAGGAGGAGAGCTAAAATTTTCGCCGAGAAAATTTGCCAGTCACAACACAAGAGATTTCGCTTACAACGCTAGAAATCTCACGGTTTTGTTATAATACTTGAACTCAAGAACAGAACAGCTCTGACAATGTGATGTGTCAGACATTATATATATAGCCTCTCTGTGACATCAGATATGGACATTCATAAAAATTATGAGTCTCTAAGAAGTTTACGAAGTAAGTTACACCGTCTGGAGAAATACATCTATAGTGAAGTTTATGCTCTGTAAGTTATACACCAGGCACTGTCCTTGACAGTGCATGATTGATATTCACTGAGAGTCTGCGTTTCCACGCTTAACCT